GCAAGATTGAAGATGCCGCCTCCCTCGGCGCCGGGAGTGGTGACGAAGTAGCGGGCGTCGCGGGGGGCCAGGTCATTCGTCCGCAGGAAGCGGGCATCTGCTTCGGCCTTGCTCCACGTATCGCTCCGGATGCGCAAGGTGGACTGGTTGCCCAGGATCGCGTCGCCGACCAGCGGCGCCTCGAGGAGCAGGTTCCTCACGATGCGGGGCGTGAACTGTTCCTGCACCAAGTTCCAGATTTGCCCCGACTCGGCGCCGGGAGCGCGCACAAAGTAGCGGGCGTCCCCCGCGGTCTGGTCCAGCAATCCGGCGACGGCATCGTCGATCTCGGTCTGGGTGCGGCCCGACGTCCAATACTGGGTTAGCGTTGCCGTGAGCAGGGAGTCCAGCTCGGTCCTGGGATAAAACGAGAGGAGCTCGTTGGCCACGTAGCCCTGCGTCTGGGAGATGGTGTAGTAGTTCGACAGGTCCGTGCCGCTGGTCACGGCGTCGGCGATGGCCTGGTCCGTTTCCGCTCGGCTGTAGAAGTCCAGCAGGGCCGTGATGATCTTCGAGTCCACCTGGCTGCTGTCGTCGTAGCTCGAGAGGGCCGAGGAGATGGCCGCGCTCACCTGGCTGCTGGTCTGGTAGTTGGCCAGCTCTCCGGCCACGAAGCTGGACACTTCGGTCTGGTCCCAGTAGTAGGGCACCAGCTCGCCGGCGATGAGCGCCAGCACCTGGGCCTCCGTCCGGTATTGGGACAAATTGAGCGCGTCGATCGCCGCCGTGATGGCAGCTCCCGTCTCCAGCTGCGTGTAGGTCTGACTCCTGGGGTAGGAGTCGGACTCGATGAGGATGGTGTCGTCGAGGTTCTGGAAGGTCGCCGTCAGAGCTCCCGCCACGGACAGGTTGCGCAGGACGTTCGTGCCCTTCAGGAGGTTGAACGTCGGCCCGCCGGTCCAGGACTGGCCGTTGCTCAGGGTCACGGTCAGGAGCGCGTCCGCGATGAGCTGGTTCGTCGCGACGGTGTCGCTGTAGCTCAGGAGCTGCGTGTCCGTGTAGTCTTTGCATTCCGTGATGCCGGCCACCAAATTGGCGGTGGCCTCCGCCCGCGTGAAGTGGTTCGTCAGGGCCGCGGCGATGGCTCCGTCGGTTTCGGCGATGCTGTAGCTGTCCACGGAGAAGGACAGGGTCCAGTTGTCGTTCGCGAGCTGGATGCTCAGGGGACCCGCGGCGTGCAAGTTGCGGATCTGATTGGTGCCGGCCAGCAGGTCCCAGGTAATCTCGCCGGGCCAGGCCGGAGCATTGACCAGATTAGTGGCGCCGCCGAGCGTGGCGATCTCCGCCAGGATGCTGTCGATGGATGCCTGCAGAGCCGTGATCTCGCTGGGCAGGGCGAAGGGTCCTGCGCTCTGCAGCGCCAAGATGTCGGCGTCGTGGCCGTCCAGCCGGCCGTCTCTGAGTGCCAGTGCGGCGTTGAGGGCCGCTTGCTGCACGTAGGCCAATAGAGCCGTGGCGACGCGCTGGTCCACGTCGGCGGCTGTTTGCCGGGCCGCCAGATCGATCGCCAGCTGGTCCACCACCGATTTCAGGGCGTAGGTTGCCGCAACAGTAGCTAATGTGGCGTTGTTGGCCGAAGCGATGCTGCTGTTCGTCGCAGCCGTCGTGGGGTGACTGGCTAATTTGAGGTCCACGGAAGCGGGCGTCGATTTACCATTGACCTCGACCTGAAGAGCATCCAGGGCCGACTGGTTGGCTTTGGTGGCCAGGCCCTGGGTCAGGCTGGTGTTGACGGCCACCAACCCGGAAGCGTTGGCCAGGATGGAGCCCTCTGCTGCGGCGAGGTCCGCCGCCAGGGCGTAGGGAGTCAGATCCGGAGCTGCGGGCAGGGCGGACAGTTGGCCCTGCAGCACCGCGATGGCTGCTGCGTTGACTCCGATGGCCGCGGTGTTTGCTGTGTGCTCCGTCTGTGGGGTGTAGGCTGTGAGCACCGTCGCCAGCTGGCCGGCGGAGATGCCCTGAAGCTCGATGACCGGCGGGGGTGTTGCGCCGTCGTCCAGGATCCGCCCGGTCAAAGTGGAAGGAAACAAACTCATTTACATCTAGTGCCCGGGCTCTGCGCCGGCCAGCTGGCGACGGTGCTCGAAGAGGGCAAAAAGGGTGCAAAAATCACTCAAAATAGCGATTATCCTAATTATCCTAATCGAGGACCGACACGCCGGAGCCTGAAAGCGTTACAATTTGATAACTGAGTTGGTGTATGTATATTCTCTGGACCCGGCCCGGCTGCATGTTCTTGAAGGTGAACCTCGCGAGGTCGCCGGAGCGCGTGCTGATGCCGCTCAGAGGGTGCTTGGGTACACGCTCCACGGGGAAGGCACAAATGAACTGGTTGTTGTTCCACTGGTTGTCGGCGATTCTCACATTTTTTATGGTTGAATCGTAGGTTCCGGCCAAAATCTCGAGGAAGTGGAATGCCTCCGCGTCGCTGGCCATAGGATAGCGGGGATATTGGAGCGCTCCCAGCTGCATTTGGGACTCCAGAGAGTTTGCCGAGAACTGGTTCCCGTCGCCCGGATGCTCGAAGTTGGCGCACTCGCCGAGCTGCAAATCGTTGACGTCCCGAAAGGTGACGAAGCATCCTAGTAATTTGCTCCAGGCGCGAGCCACTGTTACATTGAAAGAAGTGCTGCCGGCGGGGATGCTGGAGACCTGGGTGTGCATCGTTGGATACCCGAACGTCAAACTTCTGCCCGAAAGCATGATTTTTTCGAAGCTGTCGTACATCGCCGAATCAAGGTCGACTTGACTGGCCAGAACTCGGACATTTTCGATGGTGTAATCCGTCGAACCTTCGCCGGGGCGCAGGGCGTCGGCGGCCTCACTAAATTCCAATTCCAAACTTAGGTTTAATTGAGGAGGTAGAAATCGCCCTGCCTGGAAAAGACCGATCAAAGTTGGCGCCATGAGGGTGTCCTTGAAGCTCTCCGCCGGGATGGGCGCCGGCGCGCCGCCGACTTCCCAGAAGCCCGTGATGCCCTTGTTCCTATACCATTCGGCGGGCTTCAGCAGCGAGTACAGGTAGCAGCAGCGCCCGTATTCGCTGATGTCATCACAACGTTGACCATTGGCGAAGAGCTGTACCCGCTTGATGAAGCACGAGGGCTCCTGCGTGCCGGGGTTGAGGGCCAGGGTGGCCGAGTTGTTGCGCACCCGGAAAGCGATCTTGACGCTCTCGGGATCTATGAACGATCGACCGCTCGTAAGCGGTATTCTAGCCACTCTGGACGTGGTGGGGGTGAACGTCGAGAGACTCGATGGAAAGTATTGCACGTCTTTGCGGCTCATCACATAGTTCACGTTCGAAGAGGCCAGACGATAATTGAGGCTTTGTACGAGCTCATCTTGGACCCCTTGTGAGATGTTCTCCATGACCCTTTACTACCTACGCAAGTTCCGGTTCGTTCCTCAACTGGTCGAACGACGGCTGGGTGCCGAGGGGCCCGCGGTCCGAGCGAGACTGCCGGCTGATGCGGGAGCGGTCGCTGTCGGAAGAGACCGGGATGGGTGGGGCGTTCAAGCCGAAGGGCATCGGCTGCGCCCTCGGCCGCCGAGCCGGGCGGGCCACGATGCGTTGCTGCGGCTGTGCCTGCGGCTGGGGCTCGTCCTCTTATTCAGCGTCTGCACATCCGTCGTCATGCTGGGCCGCGAGGCATCGGAGTCCGTGCCGCCTCCAGCATTGTCCATCATGAAGCCCGCCATGTTGGCGGCTCCCTGAATCGCCCAAGCAGTTCCCACGATAGCAGCGCCTGCGCCTGCAACGGCCAAGCCTCCCGCCGCAGCGCCCACCGTCCCCGCAGCTGCGAGGGCTCCCTCGCCGAGCAATGCCAAAGCTCCTCCACCCGCTTCCGCCGCAGTTGCCGCTTCGGCCCCTGCCGCTGCAGCCTCCGCCGCCGTGACAAAGCCTTCTGAAGCTTCCGCCTCCGCCAGCTGCTGTGTGGCGAACTGCTCGATGTCTTGCGCGGCCGCTCGCTCCACCTCCGCGGCTCTCTGGCCGGCTCGCTCCAGCAAGGGCTCGACTTCGGAGGGTCTGCCGATGATTTGCGGCGGGGGCACTTCGTCTGGCGGCGGGCCCAATCCGGGCGGCCTCCTCGGGATCCGCAGCGTGCGGTCCAGCCAATCTCCTCCGCCCCTCAAAACGTTGAAGGTCTGGTTCTCGGCGACGCTTCGGCTCGCCGCCGCAGCGCCCGCAGCGCCCCCTGCGATGATCGCCTCCGCGGCTTGGATGCCCGATTCCCTCATGCGACCTCCGAGCGTCGGGGGCCTCGGAGGGTTCAGACCGTCGTTGCGCAGGGCCTGGCCTGGGTCCATGCCTCCGTCATCGGAGTCCGGTAGAAAAGATGGGCGAGTGAACTCTCTGGGCGGGCGAGGAGGGAACTCCGTCGTAACCCTCGTCGGCTGTTTCAAAAGCAGCCGCTGGGTTCAGCTGGGTGTGGGGCATCGGTGCATCGCTGATGGGCTCGGGGGCATTGGGGTAATCGTCCAGGTAGAAGTGGCTGGATGTGTAGATGCTCGCCTTGCGGTTGGGTAGGGGGATGTCGAGGGGCTCGCCCTCAGCTATGTAGCCGAGGACCTGGCCGAAGCTGGGCTTCACGCGGAAGCCGTTGCTTCTGCGCTCCTCCATTTACTTACAGCATCCCCCCGTAGACCTGGGAGTCGCTGGTGTTCCTGCCGGCGGCCACGTCCCGCGCCATGCGTTGGATGCCCGCGCGCTCCGCCGGAGCGTAGCGGAGCTGGGGGATCCGTCGGTTCACGGCCTCCGTCATCCTGCCGAGCTCGTCGGCGTAGGTCTCGCCTTCTTGGCGGAGGCGGCGGTTCGAGAGCCACTCGTTGAAAGCTTGCGCCTCAAGCACCTCGGCTCGAGTTTTGTTTGTAGTGTTTGGGGAGGGGTAGCTTGCAGTTCCTTTCGCTGGTGCCTGGGCGCACCCGGCCAGCGCGAGAAGGTGCTCAGGTTTGAGGCCATGTGTGAAATGCATATACCAATGGTGCCCAACCGGTGGAAGGATGGCTGGATGGTGCTGGCTCCGAAAGCTGGCAAACCGCTTTGTCGGGCCTGTGATGTCAGGCCCTTAGCACTGCAGGATCCGGGTGGCAAAGCAGCCATCCGTACTGTTAAGGATGCAATTCAGCCCTACGTCGATGAGTACATGAAGTTCATACCCCAGTATGCATATTTGCGGAATCGGGACGGGCAACTTGCAATACTTCGGGCATGCGCGCATCTACGTCAGGTTCGTGACATGGTGGCGGGGCAGAAGTACACGGTGCACAACCATCGTGATGGGCACCGACGGCTGGCCCTGTGTGGCGGTCTGGCCCTAAGCTTGGATCTGCGAATGGCGTTTGATGTGTTACCGCGTAGGTTGGTGGAGAGATCTTTGAGGGAAGCGAAAATTCCGGAAGGCCTCATTTCACTGATCATGGCATGGCTAGTTGGCTCGTCGTATCACATCACTCATGCAGGGGATGCTTTCACACTCACCCCGACGAGGGGTATCAGGCAGGGGTGTGTCCTTTCACCACTGATTTGGACATGTGTCACGGGAACTATGGTGCGGGACCTTGTCTCGCGGGGTGTTTCCATTGCAGACTTGGACCTCTACGCGGACGATTTCCTGCACCTGGAAACCCTTCATGACTACGAGGCCTTTGAGCATGCGCTAAAGCGAATGGGTGTTATCATCCAGTATTTGCAAGACCAGGGACTACAGGTTAGTATGGACAAAACTGTGGTGCTCATGAGGATTGCGGGCACTCGATCATCCATGGCTATGGCGAAGAACACCTACAAGCGCAAGGATCGTGAGGGTAATGAACAACTGTACATTAAAATCCCGACAGAGCATGCCACCCTCCATTTGCCGGTTGTTAAGGAGCACAAATATATGGGTATCAAGGCGACTTATTATGGCTTCGAGGACTGCACGCTCATGCACCGTATTTCTGCAGCTAAGAATGCGTACACGCGCCTAAAGCCATTTCTACGCAGTCGGAAACGATTGTCGCTGCCAGGGAGGCTACGGATGTGGTGGACATGTGTGTGGTCGGCGCTACGCTATGCGCTTTCCAGTGTCGGGGTCACGGCCTCGGGCGCCACTACGCTCCGGGGGCTCATTGCTACGCACATGCGTGCGCTTGCGGTGTCGCCTAGGCACATTACTGGTGAGACTACGGAAACGCTGTTTGCTAGGCTGGGGGTTGATGATCCTGTTCACATGCTTAAAGCTATCGCGCGCACGCAATATACCAGACTACAGCAGCTCTATGGGCAGGTGGACCAAGGTGCAGTTACCAAGGACATGGTTGCGCAGGCGGAGTGGTCTCTTGAGCAGTGGGATCAACATGCGGGCAGCGACTCAAGGTCGCACATGAGATTGCAGCGACTGAGTGGTGTTGGTGAGGGAGTGCCGTGCCCTCATTGTGGCCTCTACTTCATCTCTGAGCTTGCTGTTACAACTCATATTGGACACCAACATGCAGACCTGCATCGGCAGGTACGGGAGGAAGTGAGCGAGATGAAGGCTTCGGATATGGGTGTTGATGGTATGCCCACGTGCCGTTTCTGCTTGAAAAAGTTCCATGGATGGCAGACGCTTAAAAGACATGTCACACTTGGGCGATGCCCGGCAATGCACAGTCGGTCAGCTGTGGGTGCCTCAGTCGTTGCAGTGGCGGATACAGTGAAGGTTGCACAACCGTTGCTCCAACAACACGTGCTGCTACAGCGCCTTGTGGATCAGCAGCTGAAGCACGAACTCATAGCAGCAGAAGTGCGACCACAGATTTTGCAAAATTGCGGGCTATGTGGTCAGTGGATAGCAGATACTAGGCAGGTTAAGCAGCACATCAGGCAGAGCCATCGGGACATATGGAATCAGTTTCATGCTGAGATTGATGACCTTTGTGCTGCATTTGGTCGTTCCATCACTGTGCCGTGTGGATACTGTGGTACGGACAAGATCAATTCCTCAAACCGGCCTAGACATGCTAAACTTTGTGGTGTGCTCTTTCAAACCTTGCTAGTGCTTCGCGTTGCGCAGAACGGGGGCCATGTCAACACAGGAGATGGATTTCTTTCGCCACCTCCTCCCCAACAAGGGCAGCGGGGACACTCAACAAATGGAAACCGGCGAGCCTGTGGGAACGGACGGAGTCCCCAAAAGGACAACACCATCGGCGCAGCGTCCGCAGAGACCAACGAAGTGGCAGAAGCAGGGAGCGGGCAAAGGTCAGGGGCAGGGCCGAGGCAACGGGCGACAGCGGGGGCGAAAGGCACAGACATCGGCACCTTCTTCCGAGCATTCCACCGAGGACCCGGAGGAGGACTACCCCCCCCATGTAATGGAGTTGCTACGGGCCACTGCCAGGTTGGCACTCCGATTGGAGGATCAACAATGCCTGGATCGGTTGGACAAAGCCTTTCTGATTCACATGCGCACGCAGGTGCCGGAGTGTATGCTGGCCGACATGTTCAGGATCAGCGAGAAATGGAAGGAGGCCAGGGATGCGGTGCCGCCCAAGGTGGAATCATCCCTGCGTGTGATCTTGTTCAAGAGCTTCATGGAGGAGTTCATGTCACGACTTCAGAAGATCGACCATGCGGCAGTGATGCAGGGGTTGATTGCGCAGGGGTGGCTCTATCAGGAGGGGACAGAGCACAAGTGGAAATATCTCATGTGGGACGCAACGCAGCAGAAGGATGTGCCTCATCCCACGTTGGATCCCATTCCACATGCTCAAATCGTCCAGGCGGTGCAGACGCTACTCGATCATGCGTCGGATTTGACACTGCGCCGCTACCACGCGACCAGGCCGCTTGTGGAGACCTTCAAGGGGCCGTCAGTGTGCTTCATGCTGGAGGTCAGCCTGCGAGGAGCGCATGCGCAAAAGATGTACCAAGCTCTGTCGAGTATGGCGCAGTGTGCGGCTATGAAGCTCATGGGAGCCAATCTGGTGCGGGAGCGCATCAAGCGGAGCCCATTGGCGGTTCTGATCCAGAAACTGCTTCAACAGTGATTGCAGGCCTTCAACTGGTGAACAATGGCAACTTTTGCTACCAGCATGCCTTGGTACTTTCATACATGTGGGCATCCCATTGTGCTGCAGGCTGCAATGTGCCACTACAGTGTCACTACAGGATGTCCCATCGGGTTTTCATGGCAGGCTGCAGCCAGTGATCGAGTTTCTGATGAGCGGAGTGCGACGCATCATGATGAACAGGTGTTTGATGTGGACCTCACTGATACAGCAATGGCGTCAGCCTCAGAGACAACATGATATTGGTGAGTTCATGACACATGTTATGCAGCAGGCTCGGCCAGATTCCATGCAGGGCGCTTGGCATATGATTACGGCGACTGGGGAGGTACGCGATGTTGGTGACTTTCATGGGCCGGTGATGGTACACTTGGACAATGTAAACAGCATGCAGTCGACTACCTTGCAGGCGCTGATAGATCGCTGGACAGATGCTGGGGAAGGCATGCGGCGACTTATTTTTGAGGCCCCGCCATTGCTGTGCATCCAGATACTGCGATTTCATGGTCGACGCCGGATTCGCAAACTCCTGCATCAGGTTATGCTGGGGAATGGCAGGGCCCACATACCATGTCGGGAGCGACCAGGCACTGCAAATCCTGCATATCATCGATATCGTGTCACTGCTATTTCTGTGCACCTGGGAAATACACCGTCCACAGGTCATTATCGTGCGGTACTGATGGCTCAGGGCTCATCTGAGAACGCACTAGGAACTGGCGAGCACGCGGATGATACAACTCACATCTACAAAGGTGCCTTGTACACTGATGATGGTTGCGATGCTGCTCCAGTTCTTGAGGGGGACGTGCATGCCATTTCGTGCAACATGTATCTCTTGTGGTGCATCCGATTGGCGTGATACCGCTTACAACTTTTCTGCGAGCTTTTACTGTGCAGTGGGAGCTTTGGCAATGCAGTGCAAATTTCTTTCATGCCATATCAACTTCTGAGTGAGTGCTGCACTGACTGACGTGATGCATCATGTAGTGCTGCATGTGATTGCTGTGGCTTGTCAGTTTTTGGATTAGTTACTTTTTCACTCCTTTGTAGTACGTTCCAGCCTGCTTGGCATTCGTGCCGAGGCTTGGAATCTGCTTGTGGTTCGCCACGGGATTTCTGCTAGAACCGCAACCTTGAGTTGCCGGTATGGCCACTGCGCTATACTGTAAATTATCTCGCTAGCTGTGCTCACTCACAGTGCGTCCGAAAGAAAGAAAGAAGCTTGCGCCTCGACGAGCTGCTGGTGCCGCCGGAGCATCAGGGGATTGAGGTTGTAGCTGGGGTACATCTTGTGGAACTGCCGAAGCATGAAGGGTTCGTTGCGCCTCTCGAGGGGCATCATCTTCTTTACAGTTCCAGAGTGTTTCGGGCAAGAAGCTGCATGTATCTATCTTGTCGCTCCATGTACCTGAGAGCCCGCTCCTGGGCGGGCGTCATCCTCACAGGCTCCACTGGCGGGGCAGCCTGCGGGGGCTCCGGGGCAGGCTCGGGAGTGGCTGGAGCCTTTGGAGCCTGCGGAGTGTGCGAGGGCTCGGGAGCTGGTGCTGCGACCTCCTCGACCGGGACCGTTTTCGGTGGCTTGGGTTTGTTTTTGCTTCCGGGCGGACGCCCTCTTCGCTTTGGGGCTGGGGCGGCTGGCGTCTCGGGCACGGGGGCCGGAGCAGGCTCCTCAGCAGGCTCTGGGGTTTCAGTCGCTGGAGGCTCCTGAGGAGTTTCCTCCACCACCAGCTCATTTTCCTCCGTCATTTTACTTCATTAAACATTTAAGTTTCATAGTCGAGGAAAATCGCGAAGGAAACGGAAGTGCCGCGGGTGTTAACCACATTCCCGTCGACGTCGGTGAGCTTGAAGCGCAGGGTGCGCAAGGTAATGGGCCCGTGGAGTTTCACGAAATGGCCCTCGTCCGTTCTCGTTTGCATTATGTTGCCGATGCCTTTGTCGATAATCATTTTCGCGATGATGTCCTGACCCAGGGGGCCCTTGATGTCGGCGGCGGTGGCGAGCGTGGAGCAGCGCAGGAACAGCTCGCTGTAGGGGTTCATCGTGACGAACGTGAATATTTGGAGAGAGCCCTCGATGAAGGAGGGCCCGAGCAGGTGGTTCATGCTCAAGGGGCGGCTGGGCGTGGCGCCGGCGGGGTAAGAGCCGGTGCCGGGAAAGAGGCTCCGGATCTCGGCGTCGTTTAGGATGCGGCGGTTCGCGTCGTAGGCCACTCCGATCTCGTTCGTTTGCTCCACGTAAGTGGCGCTCGCGTAGTTGGAGGATATCCAGCTAGCCAAACGAGCTCCGGTGTAGGCCCCAACAGGAAGCACAGCCCAATTGAGAGTCTGCAGGGCCTCGTCGATCCAGTACATGTAGAAGCCGCGGTCCGTGGAGAGGAAGGCGTCGGCCACCCGAAACTTCAGCACCGACAGCCTGGCGCCCGTCTGGAGGTGGAGGGTCTCTCCGATGTCGAACTCGAAGGAAGAGTCGTCCCCGGCGATGCGCTTCCGGCTATCCACGTAAATCGTGCAGCTCATCCTTTTCCTTCTCCGGAAGAAACTCCGCCCCGTCGACTTCTCGGAGATCTGCCGGGCCCGCTCAGGGTAGGGCCAGCGCGGTTCCACGATGCGGGTGCTGCTGCAGCAATGGCACTCACTGTCCAAGACCGGCCCGCCCCCCAGGAGCTTGCCCACCACCTGCGACAGGATCGTCCCCATTATTTTCGATCACGAAGCGTTCCTCCCAGCGCTTGTAGAACATTTCGGGCCGGGGCTTGAGATAGTGGATGAAGAGGAAGCTGTAGGGCTCCCTCGTCGCCTCCTCGTAGATGGCCTGCAGCTCCTTCTTGGGCAGCAGCGCCGTGAGCTCCTCGAGGACGGCTTCCAGCTCGAGCTGGTTGCGGAGGCGCCAGACGCACATGAACTGCATGTTCACCCGGACCGCAGCGCTAATGAGCCGGAGCTTCTGGGAGGAGACCCAGGTCGAGATCTGCATGTGGCGTCCGCGGATGAAGAGCGTGTCCAGCGCCCCGTCGCCGGTGCGGCGGTGGAGCTCCGGCTGATCCGCGAAGTCGTCGATCACGATCAGGATCTGGTAGAGCTTCTTGAAGCCCAGCTCCTTCGTGGTTCGGGTGATCTTCTTCTGCTGCTGGATGATGGTGCGCAGGGCCCCCTCGTCCCACTTGTCGAAGTAGACCTGCTCTCGCTCCGTGTTGACGCCCATGTGGTGCTCGATGAAGTCCTTCACGGGCTTCCAGGCGTCGTCGATCTCGATGCTCGGGCTGAAGATGTAGATCCGTTCGAAAACCGACTCGCCGCCGCTTGTCATGTACTGGTCCAGGATGGCTGAGATCAGGGCCACCGTCTTCCCCGATTTCGAGGGCCCGAGGAAGATGCCCGTGCACGGCACGCGGGGGACGATCGGGTCGCGTGGCTGTTTTGAGGTGTACTCGGTGGTGGGGAAGAGCTTCACCTTTCCCATTTCTATTCCAGGCTCTCCGCGATCTCCTGGCACAGCCGGGGCGGCAGGGAGTACAACTGGTTTCGGGTCTGGCCGCTGCCTTGCCTCTGAGCGGTTTCGGGGTGCCGGCCATCTCGGAAGGCTTCGCAGCGGCTGCGCTTGGAGCAGACCGCTTGGCTGGGAACCCAAGGCAGGTTGTTCCATATTCGGGTGGTCTTCTGGTAGCGAAAGCCGTACATGCAGTAGGACACATCGTTGTAAGGCAGCGCTTGCATGTAGGGCCGACTTTTGAGCAGGCCCGTTCGCGGGTTCTCGACGGCCCACCACCGAGGCCGGAGGTGGCCGATGATCTCGATGGTTTTCAGAACCAAGCCATCGCCCTCGGTCAGCCGTCGGGGTCGCCGGGTCAGGGCTCTCGAGAATTCCGTGCAGACGGGAGAGGCCCAGATGAATTCGAAGTGCCCGGGCGGGTAGGTCCGGTAATCCCATTCCTGAATCTCGGCGCAGATGGTGGGTCGAGTCGTCGCGTCCGTGTCAAGACTCGTTACCTCCCAGCCAAGGGCCTCGAAGGCACGGCCCACCGACTTCGTGCCGGAGAACAATTCCAGAAGTCTCATGGTTTTCCCAGGGCAATGACAGAAGCCACAAGCCGAGAAAGACGCCCGCCAGCGTGACGACCGCGCAGGGTCCGGGCGTCATCCCTTCGAGCGACGGCATTTTTTATGTTATACGGAAGGAAAGGGAGCAGCATGGAGCCGCAAAAGCAAGCCACCAGCGAATCGGCTATTCAGCTCGGCGATCTGACGATCAACGCGAAGGGCGGCAAGTACGTCCCCTTGCGCCGGAACGGCGGTCCGCCGGTGTGGCAGTCGGCGGAGTGGCAGAAGATCATCTGGCACCCGGCCGCCTTCAACGACCCGAGCGCCAAGCGCGTGGGTCTGTGCCTGGAGCCCGAGGAGGCTTCCAAGGCGCAGCTCCAGGAGATCGAGCAGCACCTCGTCAGGGCCCTGACGGCGCTGTCGCTTTCTGAGCCGAAGGTCTTCGGCAAGTTTCTGACCGAGGCGGATGTGAAGGACCGCTTCCAATCGTGCCTGAAAACGAGCCCACGGGGCGGCTCGTACCTCAAGCTGAAGATGGACTGGGGGCGAGTCCGCATGTGGGGGCCCAATCAGGAGGAGCTGGCGGAGCCCGGCAACCTCGCCGGCAGGGAGTGCAGGGTCCGGTGCGAGCTGCGCCAAATATGGCTGATGTCCAACCAGTGCGGCCTACTGCTCGAAGTGACCGATGTGCAGCTGAAGGACTACGAGGCCGCCGGTCCCGCGTGCCCCTTCTAGAGCACGGTCAGGAGCTCGCTGCTGGTGGCGCGGCTGGTGCCAACGTAGAGGTGCTTGAGAGTGAAGTGCGGGCTCTCGGTGTCGCACAGGAAGACCCGCCCCTCGAGCGTCAGGCCTTGGCACGAGGCGTAGGTGATGGCGTGGCACAGCCGGGTGTGCTTGAGGAGGGCGGCGTGGGTGAAGGAGTCGCCGCCGTCCAAGACGATCTTTTCGGGGCCCACTTCGGCCACGTGCACGTAGATGCCCTTGCTGACCCGGCCGCCGGCCCCGATGAGCTTCAGGCCGGGCCAGACCCCCATGGTCTGTGGCATGTTGGTGGTCGTCGGGCCAGTGCCGGTGTACTCGATCGTGACAGCTTCCGGCGGGGCCAGGCGACGGTTGTCCCGGGTGTTGATCCTGATGCGGTGGGCGTGGGAGATGACCAGGCTGACGTCCGGCTCGCCTTGTCGAGGAAATCGAGCGCCTCGGCCAGGCGCTGCTCCCGGGGCTCGTCGACCCCAAGCCAGGTCAGGAAGTCGAAGATGCCCGGGTCGCTCCTCATGTTCTCGGTGAGCTCGTGGTGCCAGCCGTCGGTGAGGTCGTGGAGCAGCTGGCAGTGCTTGAGCTCGCGCTGCACCGGAGTGCCCGCGAAGTTGTCCATGATCGCGGGGAACTGGCGGAAGTCGCCGAGCAGCAGGAACTTGATTTTGCGGTTCATGGAGACACAGGCGATATCGTTCCACAGCCCGGTGTCGAGCTGCGTGATTTCCTCCGCCACCAGCCAGTCGATGTTGCAGTACCCGTTCCGAACGGTGCTCCGCACCCAGTGGTCGGCCGTCTCCGCCTGCATGCCGAAGTTCTGCACGGAGGAGTGGGTCTTCGTGATGATCTTCACCTTGTACCCTTCTTCCCGGAGGGCGGTCACGATCTGGCGCGCCAGATAGGTTTTCCCGGTGCCCGGGTAGCCGGTCAGCAGCAGGCTCCCACCCTCGAGGCAGTGGAGCACCGGGTCCTCTGCGACCTTCCAGGTGTCAATGTTGCACATGCACTCCGCCTCGATTCGGGGGATTCGGTACTGGCCTTCGAGGCCCTTGACCTCCTCGCATCGGTACACGGGCGTGCCGTCGGGGTGTTTTTGGCGGACCAGTCCGTCCACGAGGCCCTGGAACTTTTTGGGCAGGTCCTGGAAGACGACGCAGTCCGTTTTGACGGCCTTCAGGTACCTCGGCGGCACGGTTGCGAGTGCATCCCGGATTCTGGAGACGGCGACGTACTCCGAGGCCATCACGAAGTCGTGCACGGGCCGGCAGCTCCGATTGGACAACAATTGGGTCACGTAGATGTGATCCCAGTGCATCCCACCCGCGGCGTCCAGGAACAGCTCCCGGTGCTGGCACCCGGAGCCGTCGAACTGGTGGTTGCTGGTGCGCATGGTGTAGATGAGGTTCATGTTGCGTGCCCAGAGTCCGATGAGGGCGTTCACCGACAGCTTCGCGTAGTGCTCTTCTCCCTCCGGCCAAGCCGCCTCCATTTGCTGCAGGGCCTGAGTCACGGACTCCTAGTCCACGTGCGCCGTGGCGTCCAGGCTGTACACGAAGTCGCGCCAGGTCGCAAGGCCCTTTTCCAGCATGTAGGCCACCGCAGGCTTCGCGTACCAGCCCTGACCCACGTAGGGGAGCTGCTTGAAGGCCGCCCAACGCCCGTCCTCCCGGAGCTTCACGTAGGTCAGGTCCGCCAGGTGCCCTTCGCGGGCTTGCTCCACGTTGTCCTTGGGGCAGAAGATGGGCGCCGGGAACTTGGCATGGGCCAGGGCGTTCTTGCGGCACCGGACCACGTCGATTCCGTGGCAGATGTGGTCCGGCTTGTGGCTGTTGAGCTTGAAGACGAGCGGTGGGAGTCGGGGCGATTCCACGTACTGCTCGTAAGCCCGCCGGCTGAAGCGCGACTCCAGTGTCGTGGCGTGCGAGAACTCCAAGGCCGTTTGGTTCCGGTGGCACTCGAGGCACAGGGCCTGGAGATTTTGGGCCTGCGCGGCGAAGGACTGGTGCACGGGAACGATGTGGTCCAACTCGCATGTGGTTGCGGTGATGGGGGCCCCGCAGAGCTTGCACTGATGGTCCTGCTCCGAGAGCAGGGCTTGCCGAGATCCGGGCGGATCGCGGCGGGCCTTGAGAAGGTGAAGGAAGACCTCGCTCGAAGCGCCTGCCAGACGCTGCCCGTAATAGGGGCCCCAGCCGCCGCATCCAGGCCTGCAGCACGTCCAGGTCTTCGTGGAAGGCGGAGATGACGCAGTCCTCGCCGCCCCGCACCCTCAGCCGCAGGCACCGCCACTCGCTCATGCTTCGCAAGACCACCTTCGGGCAGTGCTCCTCGGCCAGGAGCTACTTGTCCAGCAGGCGGCCCTGGCAGTCCACGTAGAACATCGGGGCTTGGCGCCAGAGGCAGAATTCCCGGATCTCTCGGGGGGTGATGCCTTGCTCCCGCCACGTTTTTTGGGTGCAGATTGCGTCGAAGTCCGAAAGCACCTCTTGCAGCGGCAGCCGCATCAGCTCCGCGAGCTGCCGAGGGACGCAGAGCTTGTCCGGCCGTTGTTCGAAGGCGGACTCGAGGATGTCGTCGCCGCAGTACAGCTGGTAGGAGACGTCCCGCAGAGCCCCCAGGGGCTGATCCAGGACGGTGTCCAGCACCACCTGGTTGTCCACGACCTGCATGGCCTGCTGGCTGAAGGTCCACTCCCTCGTCGCGTCCAGGTAGTAGCTCTCGTCGGACAGCTCCCAAATAATGTCGTTCGGCTCGGGGTTCCCGAGCTGCGCGAGCGCGGATGCCTTGAGGTTCCGGGCAGCTTGGGCATCCGAGAGCCCCTCGCTCTGCCGGGGCAGTGCGACGTTGAGGTCCGTGACGGGCAGGCGCTTGGTGCGCTCGTAGGGCATGCCGCGGTTCCGGCCGTTTCGCCGGATGCCCCGAATGATGACGGGCACGTGCACCACCCAGTCGACCCACTTGTCCTTGAAGAAGCTCTTCCCGAGCTTGGTCAAGTGGTAGTTCCCGTTGGGTTGGAGGCTGCGGAGCAGCTTTTTGGCGCCCCCCCGGAGCATGATGTAATCGTTGGGCCCCTCGCGGATGAGGGGCTGGTTGCGGTCGTACTGCCGACTGGGGGGTGGCTGGCCGATCAGTTGGTAGTAGTACTGCCCGGCCCTCGTCAGCTCGCCGTTGGGGCGGCTGAGCATCGCGTAGCGGAGGTGGTGGTGTCTCAAAGGAAGGGTTTCTGAGCCTGCCGCCGAGGTCCTCGCCCTGACCCCGGCCTCGGCTGCAATTCTGATCGCTTCTCGTTGCTGAGCCCAGCTCATGACTTTTGAACCACCCGCCCGGAAAAAAGGTCGTCCCCCGAGCGGGCGCCCCTTCGCCGGTCGAGTCTTGTTGTACAGTTGTTGGCTCAAGTCTTCGTGTACAGCTTCGGCTCAAGCCTCCCCGTTGTACAGCGGCTTGTACAGTTTTTGGCTCAACTCTTGTGTACAGGTTCGGCTCAAGCCCTCCCTAAACCTTATACGGCAGTTTTTTCGTTTTGCACGAGTTTCTTTCACGTTTCACTGCTCTGGAGCGAGCAGGCCTACTTCACTGCTCTGTGGCGAGCAGGCCTACTTTGGAAGCCACCTAAACCGAATGCCCGCATTTCGTTTTGCATGAGTTTTTGGCATGGATTTTTGCATGATTTTGACACGTTCGATTTTTGTAAGTGCTTGTGCCGCGCTCGCTCCCTCGAAGCATGAGCAGCAGGCAGTGGCAACAGGCAACAGCAGCAACTCGTTTAGCAACAGAAGGACCTGGCAAGACGCACCTAACGAAGACAGACAGCAAGCACGCAAGTCCTGACACAGAGAGGTAGAGTGCAAACGCCGGGTGCACAGAGGTTTCAGGGTTTTTTGGAGGTTGCAGGCAAGGGGTTCTGAGGCTGCGAGGTTTGGTCGCACGTGTCAGGAGTGCCCTGTGCTGCCGCCCTCACCCCTCCCGTAATCTAGAGTGTGTGCGCCTCCCCTCCCCTCCCGGGAACCCCGGGCCCCCTCCTGTGATCAGGTGCGCTTCCTGACTCTCGCTTCTTCGACAGCATCCAGCAGAGGTGAGGTTAGTGAAAGGTTACTTCGCGGTAGTGTTTTTTCGCGGCTGCGTGGTCGAGGAGTCCCTTCCTTTCCCGAGACCCCCGACCCTTCTGCGCAGGCGCTCGTGTGCTGCTCGTATCTTCGTCCTCGACCTCTTGGCTCGGAGGCAGGGTCAAGGGCCTAGGAATCTTGCGGTGTGAAAGGGCCGAATTCGGGGTCGCAGGGGGCGTGAAACGTGAAACCTGGAAGGAGGCCGCAGGGGCCGTGAAATGTGAAACTTGGGGGGCCGCGAGGCAGCACCGGGGCGTGAAATGTGAAACCTGGGGGGAGGCCGCAGGGGCCGTGAAATGTGAAACTTGGGGGGCCGCGAGGCCGCACCGAGCGTGAAATGTGAAACCTGGGGGGAGGCCACAGGGGCCGTGAAACGTGAAATTTGGGGGGCAGCAGGAGGCGTGAAATGTGAAATTTGGGGGGCGGAGCGGGGCGTGAAATGTGAAATTTGGGGGCCGCGGCGGGGCGTGAAATGTGAAATCTGGGGGTCCGGAGCGGGGCGTGAAATGTGAAATCTGGGGGGCCGCGGGAGGCGTGAAATGTGAAACCTGGGGCGCCGCATGGGGGCGTGAAATGTGATATCTGGGAGGCCGCAGGGGGCGTTTTGGTCAGTGGACCAGGGTTTCACATGTCACGGGCCTTCGGGACGCCAGGGTTTCACATTTTGCACGCCTTCGGGGGACCAGGGTTTCACGTTTCACGGGCCTTCGGGGGACCAGGGTGTCACATTTCACGCGCCTTCGGGGGACCAGGGTTTCACATTTCACGCGCCTTCGGGGGACCAGGGTTTCACATTTCACGGGCCTTCGGGGCACCAGGGTTTCACATTTCACGCCGGGCCTTCGGGGGACCAGGGTTTCACATTTCACGCGCCTTCGGGGGGCCTTCGAGGGACCAGGGTTTCACATTTCACGCGCCTTCGAGGGGAGGGTTTCACATTTCACGGGCCTTCGGGGGACCAGGGTTTCACATTTCACGGGCCTTCGGGGGACCAGGGTTTCACATTTCACGGGCCTTCGGGGGGATCAGGGTTTCACATTTCACGCGCCTTCGAAGGGCCAGGGTTTCACATTTCACGCGCCTTCGGGGGGCCAGGGTTGCGCCTTCGCGGGCCAGGGTTTCACATTTCACGCGCCTTCGGGGGGGCCAGGGTTTCACATTTCACGGGCCTTCGGAGGTGGAGGGGCCAGGGTTTCACATTTCACGGAGCCGGGGTTTCACATTTCACGGCCTTCAGGGACGGCCAGGGTTTCACATTTCACGGTCGCCGCAAGGACCGATCCCCGGCGACGAGAACCCTGACCGAATCTGACCGAGGCATCTTGCAGCAGTTGCCTGTGCACGCCGGGCCACACTTGCAACTGCTGCGCATGTTGAGTTGCAGTTGGTTGCAAACTAAACACTTGGCATGCTACACGGTCGCGGACGGCATGTCGACAAATCAAGACATTCTCACCGAAGGAAAGCATATGCACGTTGTCATGTTTGTAACGAACCACAACACAAATTCTCACGCAGGGCCGATCTGTGATGCGCTGGCAAGCGTGTCCGAGCGGAAACAGGTCACGATTGTTTTGATTCAGCAAGAAGACAAGCGAAGTGGCTAACAAAGCATACGTGAGGTAACTCACCCAGTGAAAATAATGGCTTGGAGGGATGAACCAGCAGTCAAACTGAAAAAGGTGGAGATTGCAGTGCTTTTGCTCAAGCAAGAGGACAGCTAGGACGATTGCCGCCATGAGCCGGCCTCCAGCAACATCACGCAAGCTCAGGCGTGTGCTGGTGCTACTGGCGCTGTTCTTGACGTGTCAGCCAGAGCCTAAGACCGGCGCTTTGAACAGTGTCAGAGGTGTTCGCGAGCAGTTCAGGCAAGCAACGCAGACGGCGCGGGCTTTGCTTGGAGCGGGGGCCGTGCCGTTTTCAAGGTGGGATGTGATGTATGGCATGGAGTCCCAAAATCCGCAAGCCAGAGCGAGGTCGGTTCCTGCAGGAATATGGGCACGCAGCTTGCTCGTTGCACGCAGGGCTGAGGCGGAAAGCCGAGACCGAGAGAAGTTCAGTGTTAAGCTTATGTCCTGCAGAGCTGAGGCTGATGGCACTTTGGATGGTGGTGAGGCCGAAGACAACGAAGAGAAAAGGGTTTGTCGTGTTGCGTTACTTGTGACTCACGCTAAAGCATGCTACTAAAGCAGGCTGTCCCATCACAGACCGCTGAAACGGTCGAAGATGCCACGCAGGGGATTACCGGGAAGAAGGCGTGCACTCATGTCCTTGGTGCTTGAGGTGTTTGGGTTGTCAGTCAGCTTGTGTTCGTGCCAGCACTTTGCAACTCCAGGCCCCAAAAGCAGGTTTTGCCATGTTTTGCCTTTCTGACCCGCTTCAACTTGTCTGGTGCTTATGATGTAGGTGCTCCAAACGCTCAACTCTGCCAGCAGCACATGTCTTTTCGGGTCAGTCCATGTTTGGAGGCTTCCTCAGCAAAGTATGAGGTGGAAGAGGTGGAAGAGGCGACGACCCAGGCACTTTCGGGGAGTTTGTGTTTTTGCTGGTGCGGGCTTCGCATGTCTGCGTGGCTCCTGCAGGCCAAAGCAGGCTTCGATCAGGCGAGCTGTCCGTGCAGCCTCGCGGACTGGAGCATCCTTTAGGCTGTGCCCATTGGCGCAGGCCCAGTGGCTGCAAAAAACAGCTGAGCAGATCCGGCAGTTTGGCGTGGACGAGGCGATTTGCATGTCTCTTGCTTGAGCTTCGGGTCTGCGAGCATGGATGGCAGGTCAGTTCTTGGGTCCGGGCGGCCTTGGAAACGGAGAACTACGGCGACAAGGGGCAGAGCATTGCCGAGATTTTGAAGCAGAACGACGTGAGGGGCACCGCGCTCCTGGAGTTGACTGCGGAGAAGATGCGAACGGTTGGCATTCTCATGGGCCCCGCTGAAGTCCTGGCCAAGCGCATCGCTGCTGTTTCTGCCCCGCCGACGGCCGCAAGCGGATTCCAGGCCGGGGGCTTGAACAGAGCTGGCTCGTCACATCATGGGTTTCGTTGGTTTCGTGCCTTTCGTGTCAGACCGGAATCTCATAGGATCCCCTCTTCGTTGAGCTGTCCCCACACTGCCTTCTCGGTTTGTTCTTGGCGTCTTCAGTGCACGGACGATCCGGCTTGAACAGCAGCGTTTAGCATGAGGCTTTTCGTGAGAGGTTGCAGAGAGGAGCATTCGTGTGGTTGTTTCTTGTTGTTAACTCTGCTTGTACGTGTCGTTGCTTGTGTTGGGCCAGCAAACATCAGCAAACGTATCTAGCGTCAGTTACTTGTGTTGTTGCCTTCAGGTTGAAGCCGTTCCGACAGACATTGCTTTGATAGTGGAAGCAGCGGTGACGAGAGCATTGGCTGCGGATACCGGCCTGTCGATCTCGAAGACCAATCTGTGGAATGGTCCGTGAGGGGGGCTCAAGGATAACCCTGGGTTCTTCGTGCTTGCCTTTAGCATGCGGACCTTGAAGAGCAGTGGGGCTGCGGTGGGGGCTTCTGCGTGAGCATGTTGGCTTTGGCTTGTAGCACTCCTGCATGTCCGGGGCTCTTGGTCGTCGTGCGTTTTTCGTGCAGTCCAACCGTTTTTGCTTTTTGGGGTCATGCTCTCCTCTCAGCAAGGGTCCGCTCGTCGTCAAGCTTCACTGTGTTGGCTTGCAGCACTTCGGGGAGCGGGAGGGGCTCTTGGCTGCTTCAGGTTCAGGCAAATCTAGTTGCTCTTTGTGTTTTGCCGATGCTTCAGAACGGGGTGTCAGTCCTAGGCTCGAGATGGGGGGGTCAGCCTGTTTTGCGCTCGCTTTGCGCTCGCTTTGCGCTCGTTCTCCAGGTTGCGGTTGTTTTTGTTTGAGGCTCGGCTTTCAGGTTACCGTGTCCGTGAGGGGGGGTCAAGGGAGTCAACCCTGGGTGCCTTTAGCACACGGACTTTGAAGAGCAGTGGGGTTCCGGCAAGACTAGTGCAGGCCGGGGCTTCTGCGTGGGCATGTTGCCGTTGCTTGTAGCACTCCTGCCTGCCCGGGGCTCTTGGTCATCGTGCGTTTTCGTGCGGTCCACCGTTGTTGCTTTTTGGGGTGCTGCTTTCCTCAGCAAGGATCCCCTTGTGGTTAAGCTGTCTCCACTGTGTTGGCTTGCAGCACTTCGGGGAGCGGGAGGGGCTTTGGGAGCAGAGGGCTCTTGGCTGCTTCAGGTTTCACGCAAATCTGGTTGAGCATTCGCGTTTTGCCGAGTGTTGTTGCTGGCAGTGAGGCTCGAGGTGAGGGTCTGCGTTGCTCTCAGGCTGCAGTTGTTTTTGCGTATGAGGCTCAGTTACGGTATCTGTGTTTGTGTGCTTGGTCGCCGTGCTGTCGCAGTTGTCTTTCTTGATTTGTCGGGGTCGGGCAGGGCCCGAGACGCCAGCGTTTTGCAGGGCAGCCGGTCACAGGGCACCAGGTGAAGCTTCATGTGTGCTTGTGTCGATGCTCGGCTTTTGCACTAAGTGGGCCAGCGTTTCGCGCTTCACTGTGTTGGCTTACAGCACTTCGGGGAGCGGGAGGGGCTCTTGGCTGCTTCAGGTTCAGGCAAATCTGGTTGCCCTTTGTGTTTTGCCGAGGCTTCAGAACGGGGTGTCAGTCTTAGGCTCGAGTTGGGGGGTCAGCCTGTTTTGCGCTGGCTTTGCGCTCTCCAGGCTGGGGTTGCTTTTGAATGAGGCTCGACTTTCAGCTTGCTGTGTCCGTGAGGGGGAGTCAAGGGACCTGGGTTCTTAGTGCCTGCCGCTAGCACACGGACCTTGAAGAGCAGTGGGGTTCCGGCAAGACGAGTGCAGGCCGGGGGGCTTCCGCGTGGGCATGTTTTCTTTGGTTTGTAGCATTCCTGCCTGCCCGGGGCTCTTGGTCGTCGTGCGTTTTCGTGCGGTCCACCATTGTTGCTTGTTGGGGTACTGCATTCCACTCAGCCCCTCGTCGTTAAGCTGTCTTCACTGTGTTGGCTTGCAGCAGTTCGGGGAGCGGGAGGGGCTTTCGGAGCAGAGAGCTCTTGGCTGCTTCAGGTTTCACGCAAAACTAGTTGCTCCTCGTGTTTTGCCGACGCTTCAGCACAGGGTGTCAGTCCTAGGCTCGAGATGGGGGGTCGGCCTGTTTTGTGCTCGCTTTGCGCTCTCCAAGTTGCGGTCGCTTTTGTTTGAGGCTCGACTTTCAGGTTACTGTGTCCGTGAGGGGGGGTGTCAAGGGAGTCAACCCTGCGTTCTTAGTGCTTGCCTTCAGCACGCGGACCTTGGAGAGCAGTGGGGGTTCCGGCAAGACAAGTGTAGGGTGGGGGCTTCTGCGTGCGCATGTTGCCTTTGGTTTGTAGCACTCCTGCATGTCCGGGGCTGGTCGTTGTGCGTTTTCGTGGGGTCCACCGTTCTTGCTTTTTGGGGTCATGCTCTCCTCTCAGCAAGGATTCCCCCGTCGTTAAGCTTCACTGTTTTGGCTTGCAGCCCTTCGGGGAGCGGGAGGGGCTCTTGGCTGCTTCAGGCTCATGCAAATCTGGTTGCCCTTCGTGTTTTGCCGATGCTTCAGAACGGGGTGTCAATCCTAGGCTCGAGGTGGGGGGGTCAGCCTCTTTTGCGCTCGCTTTGAGCTCGCTCTCCATGTTGCGGTTGTTGCTGTTTGAGGTCCGTCAGGGGGAGTCAAGGGAGTCAACCCCGCCCTTGAAGAGCAGTGGGGTTCCGACTAGTGCAGGCCGGGGGCTTCAGCGTGGGCATGTTGCCTTTGGTTTGTAGCACTCCTGCTTGTCCGGGGCTCTTGGTCGTCGTGGGTTCCACCGTTGTTGCTTTTTGGGTGTGCTGCTTTTTCTCTTCGGAGCAGAGGGCTCTTGGCTGCTTCAGGTTTCACGCAAATCTGGTTGCAACCTCGTGTTTTGCCGAGCGGAAGGCACCTTTTTGCTCACTTCAGGCACCACTCAAATCTGCTTGCACCTCGTGTTTTACCGAGTGGGTGCCTTCCGCTTGGCTCAGTCAACCCTCGGTTTGTTGTTCTTGGTGCTAGGCTTCAGTGCCGACCGGCTTGAAAACTACTGTTTTAGTGGGAGGGGCTCTTGGCTGCTGGAGGGTTGCTCTTAGTGCTTGCAGAGAGGCTAGAGGTGTGGGTTTGCAGCACGTCGTAGGGCTGATGTGAGGGTTTTGGAGAGAGACGGCGGTGTCAAGAATGACCCCCTGAGAATTCCCTTGCAGGTTGACGTGTCCCAGGCTGCTGAGTTTTTTGGAAAGCTGCTGTTCGACGGCACAAAGGGCTGGCCGCTGACAGATGCTGGCTACTCGTCAAACCCAAGCTGCATCATTGAGCTCAGCTTGGGCCCATTCAATGGTGAGTTGGCTTTAAGCACACCTGGGAAAGACAAAACAAAACTCTTGGATCGGGACACAGAGATGCAGGATATGGTGACCAAAATTGTGGCTCGAGCAAAGCGTTTGGAAGGGCTTGCCAGCTCTGACAAGAGTTTGTCGCCAGCGCTCCTGGTAGCGCAGGCGCCCGGCTCTGGCAAGAGCCATTTCTTGGCCGAGTTGGGTGAGAACATCTCGAGTCTTTGGGACTTGGATGGCAAGTTGCAGAGGCCGATTGTTTCTGTCTTCACTTACAACTCTGCCATGGGCGACAAGTGGACCGATGGATTTCGTATGAGCAACAGCGGCGTGGACTTGGGTCTGCGGGTTCTGTTCGGTGCTGCCTATCACATGAGAAGCACTGGATTGCGCTGCAAGTCTTGGACAGCCTTCTTGGATGCCATCAACCACGCTGTTTCATCTGAAAACATGCTGCAGAGCCTTGTCGACCTCAATTTTGTGGTTAAGATCCTGCGGCACTGGTATGGTGCCCGGCCTCTACTAATCCTTGCCGACGAGATGGGCAGATCAGACGACGAGGGTCTCGCTAGACAGCGACTTTGTCAGCTGATGGATTCTTGGGCCGGGCAGGTCTCGGTGGTGATGTCGGCGCTCAGCGACTATGAGGGAGCTGTGAACATGTTCAACGCGAGCATTCGGCCAGTAGAGTTTCAAATCTTGATTGTGCTCGGAACTGACACGTTCAGTCGCTTTCAGTCAGTGCTCACCGTCTGGGACCGAAACAAGACTAAGAATGCAATCTTGGCCTACCGCATCTCGCTTGCTTGGGGAGCCACGGCGGGCTATGCCCGCGCCGTCCAGTATCTGACAGCGGAGCTGAACAAAGCAAGATTCAAAGGCCCGTCTGGAGGTTCCATAATGGGTTGCATTGCGAAGCTTGGAGACATGGGAGTGAACCTCCCACCCCAATTCAGGGCAGACGAGCTGGAGGCACTGCTCGAGACATGGGACTCACGGGCTTGCCCCTACCAGCAGCTGGCTCGAGTCAGCCGCATCAAGTCACTGCAGCGGGGCATATACCAGGGAAGCGTGCTGGTGGAGGCGAGGCAAACCTCACAACAACAGAGGCTTTTTATGCCAACAGTCGCAGCCTGGCATGCGGCCTCCTGGTTCGAGAACTCGTTTAACCCAGTAGAGTCCTTTCCTAGGGTGGCCAAGCTTCAGCACATGATGGGCGAAGCGTATCGGGCCAAGTGCAAGGCGATTGAAAGCGACAACGAAACACACATGAAGCAAGCTGCGTCGTATTTCACGGAGGTTACAGGCGCTCTTGGTGCTATGCTAGCTATTGTGAAAGGGCATGAGAAGCTTCCACAGGCTCTCAAAACAAGCTGTGGAAGCTTCCTGGATATAGGCTTTAACGACTCACTGGCACAGGATCCCGCCCTTGCAACAGCAAACAAGCACGAGGCACAACAAAAGCTCGAAAGTTTTCTGCGGGAAGCTCGAGAGCTGGGCATCAATCACTGCGGCACGTCGCCTTTCCTGGTCATCATGGCTCCCCCCAACTGCATGGCCCTTGACTTTGTCATCTTCCGCCGGGAAAATGCAAGTTTAGTCGCCGTCCAAGTCAAGTCCAACACTCTGCTCAACCAAGAGGATGTCGAAGAGCAGTCGAAGAAGCTGCACAAAGCAGCAGAAACGGTGAGGCAACGGAACGTGGAGTTTTTGGCGGTGCTTGGCTCCAATTTTCCCAAAGGCTTCATCGACGACCTATTTTCGTTGCAGCAAGAAGACTTGGTGGCCCTCATCCCACCCTTCCTGCGCCATCTCTCAGGTCTTGCTGCTGGAGTACCAGGCCCTGAGCGCCGAGTGAGGAGCAAAATAAACGCCCGCACTGAGACCGGAGTTGACCGACATGACGTCGAGCAACGATTGAGAGTGACGTTTTGTTGTCAAATTCGGTGTTGGCAGGTGGCCCGACCGCATCCGAGCTTGCCTTGAATGACTGCAAGTGTGTGCAAGGCTTCGGCTGCAAGTGGTGTCGTCATGTCGTGAATCACAAGTATGCGCTGCATCTCGGGATCATGGTTCGCACTGGTGCGTGCTTCTGAGCAA